GTTCATCATATGCTGTCAGTGAGAATGGTTACAAATACAACAAAGTTGGAAGATGCACGGTAAGAAAAAAATCACTTTCAGTCACATACATAGTTTGACTTCCATCTCCTGCTATATCATGCCAGAGTCTGACACATGCTTGTTCCAGTTACAATGGTAACTTGATGGCTTGCTCTAATGTTCATATGACAAATATATTGTCAACGTAACTGTCATGTGCATTACAGAAAAAAAAATTATTTTCAAAATATACAATTCTACTAACCCTATCCCAATTCACAATTGAAACATATTTAAATAAAACTCATGCCATTCCTCATGACACTTAGTGACTGCACCCCACATTATACAATGTGATCTTGTTACACAAAGTATACAAAGGTGTGACTGAAATGCAATGCTAAATGTTTTGTTTATTCAATTCTTGTTAACCATGAGTAATAAATTCTGGTATGTATTTCCTTTTTCACCTCGTAAAGCTATTGTGTGACTCACTTTTTCCAATAATTAATTTATCATCAGATACTTGTTCCTTTTACTTTGTTGAATTCTTCAGTAATTGTTTTCACTTTGACTGGGGATATCAAATGCTACATACTTTAGTCTTCAGTTATTTGTTCATTATACCTTTATAAAAATTTATAAAAATCAACAAGTACTACAAGTATTCTGTTATGCTTTAGGGAAATGACAGGGAATCCCCTAACCAGCCCAAAGCTGTACTCCATGGTGTGATTCTTTTCATGTTACGGCATAGTTTTGAAGTGTTTTACATCATTGCATGTTAGCAAGTAGTGTGACACTCCAATCCTTGTCATGCTATAGGTGACACAAGAATACTGAACTCTTCCTTGGTAATATTGTCATTGTGCAACTTCTTTTATTGTTTTTATTATTGTGAATATTTGTTAAAAGTACATTAATAGTGTGAGTCTGTCATTGACCTGTGTATATTGTCAAGTAGTAACAGTTATTTGCATAACAATGCCTAGGGGAATCCTCTCACCCAGTCAGTGAATGATCAGAATGGTACAAAGGACACCAATGACGTTATTCTTGCTCTAAATAAATGCATCATGTCCGGTATTGTTACAATTGTTTTCACTTCATTAAATATCATTAGTGCTGACTCAGTAAGGTCAGTAACCCTAAGAGCTACTGTCTGGGCAGTGGTGTCATGACATGGAATCAATATTCAGTCAGAATCATGAATGAAAAGTTATTTGACTTGTATTTATTTATTTGCTGTGGCTTTTACAACAAGGGCTGACTGATTTAAAAAAAATTAAAATTAAAAACTACTGTACTTACTTTGAGAATTCCTTTTTTTTCTGAGAAAAATTATATAAAGAAATGGTTGAACAAACAGTCAATTATAAAACACTATTGTGTTAGTTTGTCCATTTCCTGACACAATTCTAAGTCATTGTTGCAAAACTACTATCGTAATACCCATTGTTATAATAATAATAGTTTATTATGCAACTGTAATCTGCTGTGGATACAGTAAGGTAAAAATAGTGTAAAACAAATAAAAATAACTACAAAAGTAGTGTAAAATAAAGCAACTAAAAATAACTTAAAAGTTCTTAAATTTAAAAGTTCTAATAACTACAAAAAATCAGAAAGTAATAAAAATACAGTAAGTAAATCAAAGTAAAGGCTCTCCCTACCCAGGGGTTTACACAGGCGATGCTTTGTATATGGTATTTTTAAGATATAGACACAGAACATTGTTATTTTCCATAATTTTTAAAAACATTACGTCTTTGTTCTTTTCACTTGAGGTAATTTCGCAGTTATAACCATGTTGACCAGATGGAAATCTCAGATCAAGGACATGCATCATTTATTGCACTGTTTTCTCAATAAATCAATAATCAATAAATATTGAATAATGTCGTTTGTTTTGTTTCAGGGTCATTCCAGTTTTATTACACATTTGGACTGGTCTACCGACTCGCAGTATATTCAGAGTAATTCTGGAGATTATGAAATACTGTTCTGTAAGTTATCACAGTGCATAATTCTAAAATTATAATTTTATAATGAACTTATATTTGTTCACTACATTAACACAGTTTGATATTTTTATGTAAAACAGGAATAATTATTATTTTTGTAAACATCACCTGTTTTTTATGGGTTCATCAAAAGCCGAGATGAGCAAAGAGTTTACAAATGGTTATAGATTTTTCCTATGTTATTCACTATGTTATTCAGACATTCATGTCTCATTTTTTACTTTTTTCAAGTCCTGCCAATTAATCATCCTGTCTGCACTATGTATTTGTATAAGCACCATTATCAACAACTTTGCCACACTAATATAATGTTGATTTTTATTTTCGCTAAGAAAAAATTCCAAACCTGAAAGTCACAAACAGAATATAAATTATGGTACTTTCTAATGTAATACAAAGGTGATTTTTTTCTATATTTAAAATACTTTATTTTGTTCGTGGTAAAATAACCACCCGCAAAGCAAATATACACTTTTGCACTGTTTATGTGTACATGTTGTGTTGTATTTGCCTCTGAAAGCAGTTAGTAAAACATTCCTAATGATAAAGAATATCATAATGTTATCACAATTGTCTTTCATTAAGACTTATAACAATAGGATGTCAGTATCAGGTATATTTAAAGGTGTGTCACATCAATGGGACTTTCCTATAAAGATATGTCAAGGTCTATTGAATCAAGGGTATTCACCTTTTTACATACACGTCATTTGAAAAGTATTCTGTTCAGTAACTTGGCTTCAGCAACAATTTTGACAAGTAGCATGTTGCTGTTGCAAGTCACTGGTAAATAAAATGTGTAATTCAATACTACCGGTAATATATGTGTCTTAGGTGAAATATAATTTACATTCAGTAGTCAGTAGTTACATTTCATTTTTGACTTCCGTGTGCGAAGCACAAAAAGGGAGGTAATTTTCAGCTTTTCCCTTGATAACTCAAGTACTGATCATCATATTTCAATGAGACTTGCTACGAATATTCTCTAGGACTATGCAGAGACCTGATTAGTTATAGGGTAAATAATTGTGGATATTAATTACTTAATTCGCATAATTAGTTTATTTTTTCCATGAATGTTCCACTGATATATAAAGAACCACTAATTGCATTTTACTTTTATAGAGTATTCATCATCACATTTCAATGAACCTAGGACTATGCAGAGACCCAATTAGTTTTTGGTGAATATTTATGCTTATTAATCACCTAATTAAAATAATTAATTAACACTGATATCTCAATTACTGATCATCACATTTGAATAAAATTTGGTACATAAATGCTCTAGAACAATAGACAGGCCCGTTTAATTTTGGGTTGAAATTTGTTCATATTAATTTTCTAATAATAATTAATAATTTTTTTGTTCTAATCACATTTCAATGAAACTTGGTACATAGATAATACATTACGCAGGCCTTATTAGTTTTACACTCAAATCTGTTCATATCAGTTACCTGATTTACATAATTAGTTTTTTAGCTATTCCATCAATATCTCATGTACAAGTAATGTGTCTTCAATACTCTCAACGCACGGGAGTTCTTTCTAAGCTTTCTTTGATGTACATTTATTGTTAAATTCTACAGGGAATTCTTCCACCTGCAGACAAGTCACGTCACCATCCAGTATGCGAGATGTAGATTGGGCAACTTTCTACTGTACTCTGGGTTTCCCAGTCTGTGGTAAGGAATAAATCACATAATTAAAGCAAGCTTAAGTTTTTCTATGAAACCACAATGATCAGTTCAACTGTGTACAGTCAAATCTCAATTATCCCAATATTGATCTCCACATTTCAGATTTATTGGAAATTTAGTTTTCATATTTCATCTATATATTGTGTGATTATTATTCAATTAAATTATTCAAATAAACAGTATTCAGCCACAGATAATTGAGGTAAGACTGTACTTGTATTAATAACAAAAACCCATGCATTTCACATACAGCTATTTTAGCTGTTGACAAAGTCGACACAGCGGAGCTGTTCATTATACTGATTGTTCGTTGTTGGCGTCCATCGTCGTCAACTTTACAATTTCAACTTCTTCTTTGAAACCACAAGTCAGAATGTTTTCAAATTTGATATGCAAGTACCTTGGATGGTTCTTTCTCAGATTTGTTCATTTCATCTCAAAATCTGAAATTCTCTTTTTTTGGTGAATATTTTTGTCATTTTTGGTAAAAAGTGATATTTTTGACTTCTTGTTAAAAACCACAAGTCCGATTGCTTTGATATTACATATATAGGTACTACATGTGGACCTCTCTCAGATTTGTTCATTTGGTAAAGATATCTTTAATTCTCCAATTTTGATGAATATTTTTGTAATTTTCGGTAAAAAGTGATATTTTTGACTTCTTGTTAAAAACCACAAGTTCGATTGCTTTGATATTACATATATAGGTACTACATGTGGACCTCTCAGATTTGTTCATTTTGTGGTGATATCTTCAATTTTCTAATTTTGATGAATATTTTTGTTATTTTTAGTGAAAAGTGGTATTTTCGACTTCTTGTTAAAAACAGCTAGTCCGATTGCTTTGATACTTATACATATTGTTCATTTTCTGATGATATCTTCAGTTCTTAATTGAAATGTGCATTGCTAACAGCGGAGCTATCTCAGCCTAGAGGCTGCTTGTTTAAATTTCAATTTCTATCTCTGGGATTCTCCCTATTCTCTTTTTTTGCTTAATATTGTATTGTTGTAGTATCATGATAAAATACCATTAGTTTGTAAGTCACCACCTTATCTTATCAATCATATAGTCATGTGAGCACTCTGGTCATATCTCAGTTGTCAACCATGTTACTCATTAACATTGGTCATCTGATTAACTTAACATAGAAATGTTTGCGAGTCTCAAGTTTAATAAAAAGGAAGGTATGGTACAATTATATTAATATAAATTGTACCATACCTTCCCCCTTTAATAGCCGTAAGTTACGCAAACTTGACTTAAATTTTATTAAATATTAATAAATATTGTACATGTAGGTCTGTAGTAGGTGTAAAGTAAAATGAAAGTCTTCATAAAGTCGACATCCCAAACACACACAAACAAACACTCACCTACCCCATCGGATACGTTTTTATGATGATCACTATGTGTATCTCCACATTCCTAAAATGCAATCTTTGTTTTGATGTCATTATAGGGATATGGCAAGAAGGAGCTGATGGTACAGATGTTAATACAGTCTGTAGATCTCAAGAAAGGAATGTATGTGCCACTGGAGATGATTTTGGTAAAGTTAATCTGTTTAAATACCCATGCTCCCAACCAAAGGTAGGTCTGAATATGAAGTGAATAGCTTGAAGCAGAAAATACAAGTTTTTAACTCCCATGTGCAAAGCACACAATGTGAGTCTTTGCAGTTAGTTTGTCTGTGTGTGTGTATCTATGCATATTAATTAACAAATTTGCATGATAATTAGCTAATTTTTGGCTGTTCCATGACTGTTCCACTGATATCTGAAGAACCACTCATTGGATTTTGATGAAACTTGGCACATGGATGCTCTGAACTAATGCACAGGTTTGATTAGTTTTGGGTAAAAATTCGTGGACATTAATTACCTAATTTGCATAACAATTAGTTAATTTTCGTTTTTGACTCCCATGTGCGAAGCACAAAAGGGAATCTTTGCAGTTACCCTGTCTGTATGTCTGTATGTATGTATGTATGTCACTTTTTTTGTTCCACCGTTATCTCAAGAACCACTAATCAAATTTTGGTGAAACTTGGTACATAGATGCTCTGGGATAATGCACAGAGCTGATTAGGTTTTGGTAAAAATCTATGAATATTAATTACCTAATTTGCATGATAATTAGCTGATTTTTAGCTGTTCCAAGACTGTTCCACTGATATCTGAAGAACCACTCATTGGATTTTGATGAAACTTGGCACATGGATGCTCTGAACTAATGCACAGGTTTGATTAGTTTTGGGTAAAAATCTATGAATATTAATTACCTAATTTGCATGATAATTAACTGATTTTAAGCTGTTCTATGACTGTTCCACTGATTTTTGAAGAACCACTCATTGGATTTCAATGAAACTTGGCACATGAATGCTCTGAACTAATGCGCAGATTTGATTAGTTTAATTAGTTAATACTATTAATTACC